AAAAAAAAAAAAAAAAAGAATAGGTTCATGTTACTTACACAGAGAGACAATTGAACTTGTTCCTTATTTCTATCACTTTTCTCTTATTGCTCTAGGCTTCTGTTCCTAGTTTCTTCAGGGCTTTTATTATGAAAGGATATTGAATATTGTCTAAGGTTTTCTGTATCCATTGAAGTGATCACATAATTTCTGTCCCTGAATCTATTTATGTATTGTATTGCATTTATTAATTTGCATGTTTAACCATCTTTGTATCCTTGGAATGAAATCACCCTGATCATGTTGTATAGCCTTAAAGTATTTAATTTGGTCTGCATATACTTTTATTGAGAAATTTTAAGTCTAAAGATGTAACTCAGCACTTGGCTACCATGCTCAAATCCCAGGGCTCAATCCTCAGCATTGAGTATCCTGAAATCCCCAAGATGGGGCCTGAAACTACATAAAATGAATTTTTGTTGTGGACTTGTATAGGTTTGGTATCAGAGTAATACTGGTTTCACAGAGTGAACTTGACAGTGTACTTTCCCTTTCAGTGTTATGAAATAGAGGTACTAACACTAATTAGGCAGTCCATGAAAGCCACATCTCAGCCTTGTGAGGTGAGCCTGCTGCACTAGTCTCCAGGTACAAGATGAGCACTTTCCCTTCTGTTGGGAAACATCTGATAAGAAGGCCTTCCTCTGCTGGCCATCATAATCCTAGCTCAACTCTCAGTCACTGTGTGCTCTTGGGTCTTCCCTAGTCAAAACAACAGCCTGCCAATAGTATTTGGTGGACTGCTGTGTGCTGTTCTCGGAGCTTCTTTGTTATAGTTCCAGACCACTGATGACATCCTCTCCTGACTTTAGTCTTGATTTCTAGGTGTACATTTCTGTTTTGTTCATCGCCAAGTCTAGTGGTTTCTTCACTTGCTTCCTTTACTCCATCTAGAACAACTCATTTCTTTCTTTTTTTCACTACTGGGGATTGAACCTAGGATCTCACACATGCTAGGCCAGTGTTCTGTCTTTGAGCTCCATTCTCAGCCCCTCATTTATTTATTTGTTTATTTCCTTTCCTTCCTTCTTTCCTTCTTCTTTCTTTCCTTCTTTCCTTGTTGTGCCACTGGGGTTCAAACTCAGGGTCCTGTGCATGCTTGGCAATCACCCTACCACTGAGCCGCATTCCTCCATCATTTTCTTAATATTAGTTTATTTTCATTAATTTATTTTTTTATTTTTCGAGATAGGGTTTGTGTAACAGCCATGGTTGTCCTGGAACTCACTCTGTAGACAAGGCCAGTCTTGAACTCAGAGACCCACCTGCCTCTGCCTCCCTAGTGCTGGGGTTAAAGGTGTGCGCTATCATGCCGTGCTAATAATTTTTTTTTTAAAAGCTAGTCAAGTGCAGTAGTGAGAAGGGGGTGGGGTGCTGAATAAAAAATGTAATTTGGAACTGACTGTGAGCAGTCAATTGAGGTAACTCAGCACCTTCGGACAGCCTTCCTCGTGGACTTCAACCAGTCTATTTTCAGGGCGGTGGCTTTGACTGTGGATTCAGTCTTCTTCTGTTCAAGAATTCATGTCATTTGTTGTCTTCGCTGCTGCTTTAGGAAGTGGTTAGGTTATTAGGCTGTGTTCCCTCATGCCACATTCAGTGCTGCCTCTGTTTTCTCCTGGCTTCTCATTAATTGTTGACAATGTAAGGTGAGCACTGACCTGACCTCCACATCCCAGCTCCTGAAAAACCCAGTGTCACTGACTGACGAGGCATCCTCTCCTACTGTCTGTGGTGGGCTGGCATTTTGTTTTATTGATGCATCTCCTCTCCCATTACATTAATTCTAGTAACTTTTTCTTTTGAAAGGCTTTGAAACAGCAAATAACAGATTTACAGGAAGATTTGAAAAGAAAGGAGACAAAATGGTCAAGTGCGCATGGTCGCCTCAGAAGCCAGATAGAAATGCTAGTCAAAGAGAATACAGACCTCCGAGAAGAGATAAAGGTAATGGAAAGATTCCGACTGGATGCCTGGAAGAGAGCAGAAGCCATTGAGAGTAGCCCTAAGGCCTGCCAGCATATGACAGCTACAAAAAAGGATGACTCCATGGTAAGTGTGGGGGAGTTGGTTTTGCCAAATCACGGTGATTGGAAATGTTTGTACATTTAAACTCTAAAGCCAGGAAATGGAGTGCTGGATCCAAAGGGTAAGAAGTTGGTGTTTAACAAATCCAGGAGGACTGTCACAAGACTGAAAAGTCAGGAAGTGTTCAGGGGTGATAATTGCACAAGGTAAAAGCATTGCAGTTCCAACGTCAACTTTAATTGTCCAGGAAGGGAATTTTGGATGATGTGTAGTTTACCTCTTGTCTTAGTTACTTTGCTTTTGCTGTGACAAAACATCATGACCGAGGGAACTTATAAAAGCATTTATTTAATTTGGGGCTCATGGTTGCAGGGCTAAAAGTCCATGAATATCATGGAGGGGATCATGGCGGCAGGCAGGCATGGTGCTTGAAGAGTAGCTAAGAATTTACATCCTTATCTTCAAGCAAGAGGCAGAAAGAGTTCATTGGGAATGGTGTGGACTTTTGAAACCTCAAAGCCTTGCCTCCTCCAACAAGGCCACACTTCCTAATGCTTCCTGAACTGCCCCACCAACTGGGGACTAAGTATTCACATATATGAGCCAATGAAGACCATTCTTATTCAGACCACCACGGTGTACAGGAATGGTGAGGTGGACATGACAGGGCTCCTAGCCATCGTGTAGAGGAAGTACAGGTTGGAGATGACACCTCGATGCTTTCAGAATTTGTGCTTCATAAGGCACTGGTGGAGAAGAACTGGCTTAGTGATAAGGTGAGGAAGGTGACTGGCCAGAGAGTGAGGAGGGAGAAGGCTGTCATAGTGTCCAGAGCCAAGGGAAGGAAGAGTACCTTGAGATTCAGAGTGGCCTGCTGTGCCTGTGGAGGACTAAATTGGCCAGTTTATTCCCAAGCCCAGAATGGTGCAATACATTAAGAACCTTTTCCAGGAGGAGAGAAGGACTCCAGGGGCCAGCCACCCAGCTACATAGCAAGCCACAGAGTAAGAAGTAAAGAGAGGGGCTGGAGAGATGGCTCAGCGGTTAAGAGCACTGGCTGCTCTTCCAGAGGTCCTGAGTTCAATTCCCAGCAACCACATGGTGGCTCACAAACCATCTGTAATGAGATCTGGCACACAGACAGAACACTGTATACATAACAAATAAATAAATCTTTAAAAAAAAAAAAAAAGAAGTAAAGAGAGGGATATAGAAAGGTAAAAGCCCAGAGGCAAAAGATAGATGGGATAATTTGAGAAAAGCCAGCTAGAAACAAGCCAAGCTAAGGCCAGGCATTCATAAGTTTTTTTTTTTTTTTTTTTTTAAAGACCCTTTTCCCTGGCGTGCTGACGTGGGAAGAGTGAAGATATGGGCAGAGTATAATAGCCCCGTAGAGTTAGTTGTTGATAGTAGGTGAAATGATTGGGGTAGTGGCTGGTGTGTAAGGATTTTGATATTTTAGATAGGAAAAGGAGCATACTTGTCTGGCTCAATGAAGAGGACACTACCTAGGAAGGAGCAGTGAATAGTACAGGCAGCATCCTAAAACAGATAGGACTGGCCCTGGCCAGATGTAGTCTGTTGTGAGGCAAGCCCAGACCAGGCTGATGCATAATGGCAGCTGGTGGGAAGTCCCCTAAAGCTGTTTCTCAGGGAAACAGGAGCACACTCACCTGAGCTGAAAGGGTGGAAGAAGAGGCAGAAGGTAGATGTGGGTAAGTTGTCTGAGTAGAAATCAAAGGTCTTAGGAAGATATTACTGGTCAAACTATAGTCATGTGGAACAAGGGAACCCTAGTTAAGAAGATGCCTCAATCAGATTGGCCTATAGGCAAGTTTACTTGATTAATGATTAATATGGGAGGGGCCAGCCTGCTGTAAGCCTGGCTACTGCTGGGCAAGTGGTCTTGGCTAGTATAAGCAAGCCAACTAAGCAAGCCATTAAGTGAAAGCTAGTAAGCAGTCTTCCTTCATGATCTCGGCCTCCGTTTCTCCTACCTTGAATTCTTCCTTAGCTTTTCTCAGTGATGGACGTGATTGGGACCCCCTCCCCCCCCAGCTTCTGGCCATGGTCTTTACCACAACAACGGAAGGTGAACTAGGACAGCAGGAGGGCTGTTCTGTGGCTGCAGTGGGGGCCACATGTGGGGAGCCACATGTGGGGAGACGTGCATCTGAATGCTAACTGTTGGCCTTGGCTGCTGTTGAGCTCTTGATGTAGAGTTGGGCTGTTGAAAGGTGAATGCTACTGCACAGGGAGGAGGATGGAGGTTTGCAGTGTGTGCGAGTGACTATTATGAACCGTGAATGTAAGCTGTATCAGATGTTGAAGGTGGAGGACACAGCAAACATGTATCGATCAACAGACTGTTAGGACCTGTGTGCTCTAGGCTGTGGACATTGACTGGGTGAGAGTTTAGAGCAATGATCTGGAAAGACAGGATACAATACCCTGGAAGAGGCATTTGCTTGTCCTCTACAGTACTTTATCATGGAAGCTTCCCAGTGGAGAGGAGATGAAGGAGGGGTGTGATAAAGCCCCAAATTGCCACTGCTCTGAATATCTCACTATGCTTTCTGTGTGGTCAAAGCAGTTCAAAGGAGCTGTAGAAATCATCGCCTCCTAGCCTTTAAATACTTTACCATTTTATGAAGCAACCCTGACTTTTTAAAGAGATACCTGGCCATCTATTTGGTGGAACACCCCAGTCTAAATCTTTGTGATTTATGCACCTGTTTATTGAAGGTATTGTTAGAATTGATGGTGGCAGCTTCTGGGATTATCCTAGCTGAGGCCAGACAGAGCTCAGATTGTTGGCGGGGTGAGCCTGACAATGCTGGTATTGGGGACAGATTTGGGAATGGGGGAGTGTCAGGCGGCCTCATCAACCAGTGGGGACAAGAGGGCAGCTTGTGAAAGAGGCTGTTCTGTGTCTTGAGTTGGGAGGTAGTGTGTGGTTCATTCCTACACAGCCACCAATTTACCTGGCCTACTGTGGTAAGTGAGAGTGCAGATGAACAGCTCTTAACTTTTTTTAAAATTTTACTTAGTGACATGAAATGTAGACTAACAATTGAAAAATTATCTCTCCTATTATAGAACTCATCTATTCAATTTCAAAAGAGTCATGTTTCTTCGGGAGCCCCAGTAGGAAAATATAAGAAAAAGTATCTGCCAGCACAAGGTAAGAGGCTGCATGGTCCTTTTATATTTCAGAACTTAGAGAATTTGAGCTGAGTGGTACTCAGGTGAGACTGGTGTAGAGCAGGTGGATGGGAGCAGCAGGAGGAGAGAGGATTATATCAAGGAGTTAAACACGAATGATCTTGAGTCTCTGCATCACCAGCATATAAGCTGCTGCCTTAGTTCCTCTGTTTCAAAAGGAGTTAGGAAACAAACTGGTAAAGGAAATGGATTCATTTATACTTTGGGCGAACTGTAATGGTTAAATTTTAGAGAAAAGACAAGACAAAGGCCAGGAAATATGCATGTATTCATTGAGCTGTGAGACGAGCTGTCAGAACTGAGTGCTCTTCCTGAGCACACTCTCTATTTGGAGCCTACACTTGTGTGTAGCCTTTCCCTACCCCATCATGAGTTTCCTAGAGAAACTTGAGCCCTGTGTGTAGGGGGTATATTGTTTTAGGGTCTCTGTATAGGTCTTATTCCTCAGATAATTTCTGATAGCATTCCATGCTTGTTTATTCTTTTAAACTACATGTGCCCTGGGCTGGAGAGATGGCTCAAAGGTTAAGAGCACTGGCTGTTCTTCCAGAGGTCCTGAGTTCAATTCCCAGCAACCATATGGTGGCTCACAATCATCTATAATAGGATCTGATGCCCTCTTCTGGCTTGCAGGTATACATGCAAAGCACTCATACATTAAAAAAAATACAAATAAAATTAGAAAAAGAAACACACACACACACACACACACACACACACACACACACACACACAAAATGAAAAGAGAAAGAAAAAAACCTACATGTGCCCTTAAAATTGATAAATTGTGGCTGGGCGCCAGGGCGCACACCTTTAATCCCAGTACTTGGAAGGCAGTGGCAGGCGGATCTCTGTGAGTTCAAGGCCAGCCTGGTCTACAAAGCAAGATCCAGAATAGGCACCAAAAATACAGAGAAACCCTGTCTTGAAAAACCAAAATAAATAAATAAATAAATAATCGATAAAATTGTTTTACACTGTTTCATTCTGTAGTTGTTATAAGTTTGCCATGTGGATACTGGGAACTGAACCCAGGTCCTTTGCAAAATCAGCCAGTCCTCTTAACTGTGGGGCTGTCTCTCCAGCTTGAACGAATTCACTTGTCTTAGTGTGTGCTGCAACAATACCATGGACATTCTTCTCTGTATCTGGAATAGACACATGCATTTTCTAGACACATAGCTATCAATTACCCAGTTAGGCCAGCCCTTGCTATCTTTAATGCCACTAGAGTGTATCAAAACATGCTAGTACACTCTTACTAGATTGTGTTGTTTGGGAGCTGCACATGTGAACTGAGAAGACACGTAGGAGTCAGTTCTCTCCTTCCACGTGGGTCCTCTAGATTGAACTCAGGTGTCACTTCCGGCAGTGTGCATGCTCATCTGCTAACCCTCTCTAGCCCCGACTTTATACTCTCAACAGCTAGCAAAGTACTTGATTCCACACTTGCCCAATATTCAGTGCTGTCAGGTTTTAATTTTTGCTAACCAGGTTAAGTGTGTAACTCTTGTAATCGTTTTAATTTGCATTTCCCTGATTATTTAAATATATCGAACACTATTGCCTTTGCTGGTTAGCTATATGGATTTCCTCCCAGTTACAGGAAATTGAAACCAAGGCTTCATGTATATAGAAGGCAGGTGTATACTCAGCTCAGCCATCTCTTCAGCCATGGATTTCTTTGGAAAATAGCTTATTTAGAACTTTAACCATTCTGACCTACCTTTATCATAGATATCTTTTCTCAGCCTATTGCTTGTCAAACCCTTAAAAAAAAAAAAAGATGGGGTCTCACATAGCTTAGGTTAGCCCAGCTTGCCATGAAGCTAATGATCTCTTTTGATTAACCCAAATTGTTTTAATGTTGTTGGGCCTCTTTTCTCCTGCATGATGTCTGTTTTGTTAAAAGTATGTGTATGGATGTTCTGCCTGCCTGCATCTATGTATTCATGAAGAGGGCATTGGATCCCCTGGAACTAGAGTTACAGAATGTTGTTAGCTGCCATATGGGTGCTGGGAACTGAATCCGGGTCTTAACTGCTCAGCCACCTCTCTAGCCTCCTGTGTTCTAAGTTTTCCCTTACCAGGTTATGAACCACACCACCTGGGGAATCTGGCTGTTCTTGCACCTGAACTGCAATCCTAATTAGTCTTATTAAATAAAACCCGGAGTCAGATATCGAGGGTGAAAGCTGAAAGATCAGAGAAGCAGAGCAGCCAGCTACCTGAAACATCTTATCTCTACAAATCCTTACACTGAATGGGCCAGGTCCTGTCTCCACTTGCCTTATATGCCTGTCTCCATCTCCCCAGTGCTGGGATTAAAGGTGCGTGCCACCACGGCCTGGCCTCTATGGTTAACTAGTGGCTAGCTCTGCCCTCTGATCTCCAGGCAAGCTTTGTTTGTCAGAACACAAAGTATCACACACCATGCATCACTTGCTGTCTGTTTTCTTTTCTCCCTCTTATGTCATGTGTGTCTTGTACAGTACTGCAGATGATGATGAGCCTGCACCTAGAAATCTGTGCATGCTCCTGTCTCCTTGATCTGTCCAGCGGCAGGTAGTCAGAGGGTTCAATTTCATGTTAGATTATAACAGAGTTCAATTTGGTATGTAATGAGCTGGCAGGGCTCTGATTCTGGTTCTGCCTTATAGATCTGGTAATTTATCCCCTCAGCCTTGGTTTCATTGCTCACCTGTAAAAAGGGGGAATTATCTCCGCTCTGGTGGCGGTAAAGGTTAGAAATGATGTGACAGTTGTAGGTGTAAAATACAGTGTGCACACTTGCCCTGTGAAGTAAAGGATGCCGTTCTTTGTCCCATCCAAAGACAGCAAACACCCTGCTTGCACCAGAGCCCTGGCTACCACTGGCCCACTGGTGGCTTAGTCTCCTTTTATCTCTGTCTCGTCTGCCATCTTCCATATGCTAACCTTTCAGATGTTAGTGTTTTTTTTTAAATCCATTACTGTGTGGAATGCCAATGCTGCCAGTTTGGGACCTCTAAGATCGGGGCTTTACCTGGTGTAATGGGCTGGAGAGATGGCTCAGTGATTGCGTACCTGTTGCTCTCAGAGGACTCTGTTCTGTTCCACATTGTGTCGCTCACAGCCGCCTGTAACTCCAGCTCCAGGAGATCCCATGCCTTCTTCCTGCTTCCTCTGGTACCTGAATGCCCGAGTGCATTATGTATATGCAGACAGATTCCCACATGCACATAAATAAGCGAAACAGCACCAGTAAAGGGGACGCTGTGTCTGGTGTAGGTGTGTGTACCAGTGCTTTACCTGCTGAGCCATCTCACACTGGCCTCCAAAGGAAATTTTACTGGACCAATAAATTATTTCATTAAGTATTAAAACTAACTCTGACAATTACATTCTAACAGGGAATCCACCTCGAAGATCCAAGTCTGTGCCTCCTCGTGATTTAGGCAGCTCGGATAAAGGACAAGTAAATCTTTTTTATTATTGTTAAATATGTGAATGTACCGTATTCAGGATTGAAATGGATTTGTTGAGTTTCTAAATCAGGTATAAAGGAGGGGTTTTATTTAACACTGTAAATGTTATACAACAACAAATGCTGGACATAGAATCATGTAATTTTAGAATCTGGCCTTTAATTTAGTAGGTACAGTTGTAACTGCTTAAAATATCTTGTCTTCTAGGCTGCCTTGTCCAGAGAGCCTCGTGAACCAGTGAACTTCCCAGATCTTGAATATAAAAACCAAGAGGAAAAAGAGGAAGAAATTCAGGGAGAAATCAATCATCCTGATGGAAAGGTAAAACATATTCATTTAAAATAATGAATGTGTTGGTACTGGACAGATGGCCCAGTGGTTAACAACACTGGCTCTCTTCCAGAGAACCACAGGCTCAGTTCCCAGCACCCACATGGCAGCTCACAACTGTCTGTAACTACAGCTCCAGGGGATCTGATACTATCAGACAGACATGCAGGCAAAACATTGATCAATTCTCATAAAAATAAATCATAAAAAAAGAATATGGTACAATACAAATAGCCATGCATTAAACAGAGTCAGTACTCTGAAAAGAGAGCCACTTAACAGGAACCTGTTTTGAGAACTGCATTGTCACAGATTATATTATCATAGGAACCTCTTAGAATGTGCTTACACAGACCTAAATGAGATCATCTATCTCACTCAGGCCTGGGGCATGCCATGTCTATGTATGACTATATATTCGTGAGCACAGGTACGTATATGGTAGAGCTATTGTTCTGAGGGCCTAGGTGAACAAAGTGATACAATATGAGCGGAAGCACCGGAGACAGTGGTGATATAAACACATAGTATGGGGTTTGTGTAAACTCTTTCAGGTAAGGAGTATGCTCTAAAGTAAGAGCATAGTGCAGAAAGCACACAAACCAGCACATAACTGTTTTCTGTTACCAAGTAGTGTGAGCTTTACTCGGTTGTGTCGTACTTTTCTGTAACTGTCAGCATAGGCTTACACCATCACCACAAACATAAGTCACACGATGCTGAGTTGCATGATGGCAGCTAGGGTGAGGGGATAAGGATTTTTCTGTTTCACTATACTAATAGGGGAGAACATTATGCATGTAACCCACCAGTGACTGTAAATTCGAGATCCTAATTATTCTTAATAAAAACCTGGAGTCAGATATTGAGGGTGAAAGCTGGAAGATCAGACAAGCAGAGCAGCAGCCACCAGAGACTTCTTACCTCTAGGAAATCTCAGATTGAATAGGTACCCTGTCTTTATGAATCCTCAGACTGAATAGCAATCCTGTCTCTACCCGAGTTATTCCTGTCTTCACCTCACTAGTGCTGCAATTAAAGGTGTGGACCTCCCACATGCGCTGGGATTAAAGGTGTGAGCCTCCCACATGTGCTGCGATTAAAGGTGTGAGCCTCCCACATGTGCTGCGATTAAAGGTGTGAGCCTCCCACATGTGCTG